TAGTTTCAGGTTGTCCACACAGTGACTTGAAGACCACTGCTGATACCTAGGAGGACTGGGTAGGGTAAAATTAGATTTCTTAATTTATGAAGTAGCTCTTACTTTATTTAAAAAAATTACAAACAGCTTCTTCCCTACTTCTAAGTATAGAAAAAATACAATTGATTTATATTAAAGAGGAATTTTCTATTAAAGAAAATGGAGCTCTCTTGAGTATTCTTCATTGGAAGGCTCTAGTCAAAACCTGTTCTTTAATTCTTTGTCAGTCAAGTGTTGTATCTGATGGCTAGGATGTCAGTGGGTAACCATTTTGTTTTGAAGCACAGTGCCAGTCATTGTCTTGATGGTAAGAACCTCCTTAAAGTTTGCACATTGGTTCTGGAATATGCCTGGAGTGATGGAGCACTTGCCTGGCAAACACAGGGACATGGGTTCAGGGCTCTAAGTTCAAACTTTAGTAATGCCCTTCTCACCAAAAAGAAAGAAGAGAAAAGAAAACCTGAACATTGTTAGGATTAGTAGCCATGTTTTAAAGTGATTTTGTAAGTGTTTCATTCTTTCTTTTATTTTAGGCATCTTTCCGATTGATAATTATGAGGAAATAAACTGAATAGTTGGATTTGATCTCCAGTATTTCTTCTCTTTGTCAGATTCCAGGTTTCTTTTTTTTTTGTAATAACATAATGAAATGTTTTCATTTCAGAGTTTATTATTGGTATTTTATTTTGACTTGGGCTTACTACCTTTATAATACTTGCTTAATTACCACAAAAGATTAGCAATTACTCTGATTAATAGATTTACCGGCTCACAGCTGTAATCATAACTACTCAGGAGGCTGAGATCTGAGGACTACAGTTCAAAGCTATCCTGGGCAGGAAAATCCCCAAGACTCTTATTATCTTCAATTAACCACCAAAAAAGCTGGAAGTAGATATGTGGCTCAAATGGTAGAGTACTAGCCTTGAGCAAAAGAAGCTCCTGAGTTCAAGCCCCAGACCAGCAAACATACAAAGATCAATACCTTAATGTGATCATGCTAATTAATAGCAAGTTAATGCACATTTAGCTTTGAGTAGATTCAACCTGTCTTTGCATATGTTTTTACCTGTCTTACATATCATATTTGTTCAGCTATGTTTCTGGAACTAAATGTAGGAGAGCATATTTTTGTACCAATTAAATGTAGCCCTTTTCTATCTGTGTGGATCCTGATCCTGTCATCTAACATATTTGCTGATTTACATAGCTTCAAGTCATTTATAGATTGAATAAATTTTTGTCTTCAGTTGCTGTATCTTTAAATCACTAACAAAAGTTTAGAACAGTTCAGGTAAATGCCTCTCTACAGGTTGTTACTCTTCTTACTAATATTCTTAATTTCATTAGCATATATTTTCTAGCTGGCTCACAGTTCTGTGTTGCTGTGTAATATTAAAAAATCATTTTAGAGGTCTATATCTCATCTACCTCCCTGTTTAATAATTGATTTAACTATTCTCCTTTGTTTACTTATTTTTTCTGAGTGATTTTCTTTGCCATCATTGTTGAATCTAGATCACTTTCATACATGTTTTTCTATGATCTATAAGTCAAATGATCTTGTGAAAGAACAGAAATTGTTTTACTAACAAAGCTGTCTCTATGATTTCCACTCATTACCAGGACCTCACAGTTATCCTTTGTTTTCTTTTGAGTCCCTGCCTTTACCCAGAGAAGCTTATGTGATAGTAGAATCTACTTGACTCCTTTTAAAAAAATAAAGATATCTTTTCCCAACTCTAGTTTTCAGCTTGAATAATACCTCAAAGAAATAATACCTTAAAGACCACCAACTGTGGTTTGATCAAAGATGTCATTTATTCTGGAATGAATTTTGTTAGCTAAGTGTCTGATAGAGAATAGCTATGTATTTTCTTTAAAACACATCTCTTCTGAGTTCTCAACTTCCACTTAAACACTTCTTCCTTAGCTTTTTAAATGAAAGAGTAAATTCTGTTGAAGAATAGAGAGAATCAAAATGGGTGTTCGTTCAAGTTGTATCTGAATCCCAGATAACATATATCTTACTTGATTGTCATGTTGAGCCTAACAAATGCAAAGAAAACATTTTTGTTCCTTGACATTTTTATCAGTCACCCAGTTAACTAGATGAATGAAAGAGTAGATAAAGAAGAAAATAGTAGAAGAGGGAAATCTATAGCCACCTAGAAACAGATATCCGCCTGATATGTAACTTGCAGTTGGTCAGTAAGTAAATAGTCCATTTTTGGAGAATGACTTACTTACTTGCTTTTCCTGAGCTACTTTCTCCCCAACAAGTTATGTGATTAGTAATGGAATGTGATTGGTAATTATGTACTTACTACGAAACTCAAACCCTAGAAATAATTTATTGACAAATTGCTGTAAAGCTGGATTGGACAAATTTTAGTCATTGATTGACCCAGAGACTCAAATGATGACCCAGGACTAACAGGCTCTTATTTAATTCCCATATTTACCTGACCCCCATTCCTCAGCTTCACATCCTCTGTATTGGATCCATTCTCTGGGACTATCTTTTGTAATATTAGATATCATTAAGCTACATGAATCTACTTTCTTTTAGAATAATCTCTGTCAGGCAATTGTCATGACTGTGGCAAATGGTTAGATAGCACTTACAGAGGGAAATTTCTCTTTGTAGAAGCCAAAGAACACATGCTCCCAAACAGACTTACTTATTTTATATGTTAGACAAATAATACTATATTTTAAGATTAGCATTATGTGTGGGCCAACAAATTTTGTATATGGAAACTTAAGGAGATTAACAAATAACTTCTAGTTTTTGAAGATGGGTTATTATAGTGCTTGATGAGTGAATAGGAGGGAACCCTCTTTGCCTAGGAGATGAGTAAAATTGGTCATAATTGGGCAAGCAGAAGGGTTTGTGAAATGGAAGGAAACAGCCACTGGAAAAAAAATCACTTGTAAACTTACATCCTTGTAAATTTAGCACAAGACAAACTTTCTTCATTTAGTTACCCTCAGACCACTAGTATAAATGCTTTAGTTTTTTTAATCAGTTCTACAATCTAGTGGTTCTCATAATGTTCCATAGAGAGATAAGCATCAAATGAGAATTCTATAGAAATACAAATTATGGAGCTCCTTTTTAATACTGAATAACAAACACTGGAGGTGGAACCCAGCAATTTATCTTTTAACAAACATACCAATTGACTTTTCTGGAAACTGAAGTATATGAAACATATACCATGGTTTATCCTCATAACATTTTTATATATTACTTGTACCCTCCAATATCTTTTCTGGTTCCTAACCATTAAACATATTATTAAGTATTTTTGGCAGGACAAGGCAAATTGCTTGAAGAAGGGAAGTTGAATCAGTTAACTCTACCTTGGCCTTGAATGTCAAATAGGCATGAACAATTTTCCTACTGTAAGATCAGATATAGTGTTAAAATGGCTATTTTTAAAATGTAGTAGGAAAATATGTAAGGCATTAATGAGAAGGAACCTGAAAATTCTAATTTGCATAGAGGGCTTTTGAAGATCAAGGACTAAAGGCTTACAGAAGAGACCTTACAAAGAAAGAATGAACCAATTTCAGTAACTACAGTAGAAAAGCTAGAAATTAAAGATGATATAACAGTTTAAGACCAGGTATTTAGAATAATGCTGAGAGTAGCAGGAATCTGTTATTAAGGAATATGATAAATATCCATTGCTTCCCAGATTAATTTGAAGTTATAGAGAAAGAAGAGTTGAGAGGTCATCTTTTGGTAGATTAGAGTACTAAGAGGAACTGAAAATATAATGATATCTCCATTTGTTCCTTAGATATTATTATGTGTAATCCCAGTATTAGGGAAGCTGAGGCAAGGCTTTAATTATGAATTCAAGGCCAGTCTGTCTGGGCTTACATAATGAGGCCCTGTCTTTAAAAAAAAAAAAGTGTTTTATTGTCCATCCATCATGTGACAAAATTCTAGATCCTCAGAATAAATATAGTGATAGGAAAACCCTATTTTCAGAACTAATAACATGTAGATAAATAAGCATGATAATTTCAGATAGTAATAAGATTTGCAAAGAAAATAACAGCCCACACCCCAGCAATTCTTGCCTATAATCCTAGCTACTCTAGAGGCTGAGATCTGGAGGGTCTGAAGCCAGTCCCAGCAGAAAAGTCAGTGAGATGCCATCTCCAAACCAGAAAACAAAAAGTGGAGCTGAAGACATGGCTTAATTTGCAAAATACCAGCTGAGCAAATATAAAACCTTAAGTACAAACCCTGGTGAAGGTAGGGGAGAGGGATAAAAGAACAAAGGTGTAGAGAATTTCTTCAGCTAGACAGTTATAAGAAGACCTGAGGTAATAACATGTGGTACAGTTATATTAGAAGGCAAATTTAGAAAGCCAAATGATGGTGGTGTAGCTAAATGGCCAAGGAGAAATGTATGAAGCCATACTAAACTAAAGGGTTCATTACACCTTTTTTAAAAATATTATACTTTTTGTGTTTTGAAAAGCTATTCCATGTGAAAGGTTCAGAGAAAGGTTCATTAATATCAGTCCAGCCTGATATTCAATCCATTTGTTTGCTGAAAGCTCAATTTCTATGGACCTCATTCTTTAGTACAGTAAGAAGTAGTATAATTTTATTGATGGGGATGAATTTAACAACTAGCCTAATGCTTGAACCTAAGTACTTCAGTGGCACTGTAATACTGAAATAATAGTTGTAACTGAAATGTGAAAGTCAGTCATATGAGATGCAACTTTATTTAATAATGATTGGATGTGATGGCTTCTGTTATAAATTATTGTTATTTAGAAGTCATCTTTTATCTTTATCTTGCAATGAAGGTTAAAACATGAAGCCACAATTCACGAAAAATTATAATTAAACACTTTACTTGAATTAATTACTTGATGACAATAATGCTTTTCAGACCTAGTTACTTTTAAATATTTTCTTCTTTCAGATGTATACATCTCATGATTGATGGGAAGAAACAAGTCATGGGCCAAAGGTCAAGATACTTCTCTGGGAAATGCTGCTGCTGATGCTGCTTTATAAAGTCCTACAATGAGTGTTTGGTTTGGGAACGATTTTCATATTTAAAAGATTTTCATCTTGGAAGTAAATCAAGTGAAAATTAGATTCATTTGGGAAACATTTTCCTCCTAATAAATTATACTTATAATGGGCGACATGGCAAACAACTCAGTTGCATATAGTGGTGTAAAAAACTCTTTGAAGGAAGCTAATCATGATGGAGACTTTGGAATTACGCTCGCAGAGCTGCGGGCTCTAATGGAGCTCAGGTCCACAGATGCATTAAGAAAAATACAGGAAAGCTATGGAGATGTCTATGGAATTTGTACCAAGTTGAAAACATCTCCCAATGAAGGTAAGTTGTATGTGTTTGTTTTAGTCTTTTGTGCAGAGTACTCTTTATAAATAACATGATTATTATAAATAACATGATTACATTGTGTTGGCTATCATGCCATAGTTATAGTGATATTAAAATGAAGTGTTTATCAGATTGGTATAGAGTATCTTTAGTCTGAGAAATGTTTTAGACCAGAGAGACAAATATTTTGTTCTATTGTTCATATTAGTGCTGCCTGTTTACAATAACAAAGAGTGTCTTTCCATTGAAGCTATACAGGATGTAACCAGGCTCGGTACCCCCGAAGGGATACAGTGGAAATAAACTCAGTTCATCATCTTCCATTTTGCCAGCTAACTTAAAATAGTTACCACTGTAAATAGCTATCCAAGTTGTTTTAGTTTATGGAGCTTAATCTAAACTTTATTAGTCTGTTCATAAACAACATTGTAGACTAGAGGGCAGTTTTTCCCTTAGCTGTGGTTAAAAATAATTTTCAATTTTTGAATTATGTTGATTTCTATTTATTGGTTTGTTTGTTTATTGGTGCTAGTACTGGGGCATGAACTTAGGGCCTCTCACTCTTGCTTAGCTTTTTTGCTCAGTGCTGTTGATCTGCAGTTGAACCACACCTCTACTTGCAGACTTTTTTTTTTAGATAATTGGAGATAAGGGTCTCTGTATTTTTCTTTCTGAAGTGGCTTCAAACCTTGACTTTCAAGATCTACTGAGTAGCTAGGATTATAGGTGTGAACCACAACCACTGCACCCAGTTAATTTTCCTATGTTTAAATAAGGCTTGAGTATCATAATTCTTTTTTTATTTTTTTATTGTGAAAATACTGTACAGAAGGGTTACAATTACATGGGCAAGATAATGAGTACATTTCTTATCAAGCATTGTAGTCTTCTCCTTGTTTCCCCTTCCCATCCCATCCTCCGCCCCCCCCCCACCCTTCCACCCAACCCTCCCCCCCTACCAAAGTACTATTATGACTTCACTGCATTATGGTCTTTGAAATTATTTGGAAAAGACAGTGTTTTATTCATTGCTCATATTTAATATAATATATGATTAGGCATTTCAGAAAGACAATTTCATATTGGCAAAGGTGAAAATGGAAGGGAATACAGGTTAAATGTTTAATGATTAAATGTTTAGATACTATTCTAAAGGCAGTTATAGAAAAATTATGTAGAAAACATGTAGATAATTATGCAAATTGCTATTATGATAGTTTCTTTGATTTCTCTAAGGTAACATGATGTTGAGGAAGCCACTATAGTCATACGTGTCTTAAAAAGGCTTTTTACACTACTTGGTGGGGGTGCTCTTTTTCAGCTTATTCATGCTGTTAAATAAAAATGTGCATTGTTTTTTCCTCTGGTTTTTTTTATAAAGTTCTTATTCTATTATTGTAGATTTAATATTAGCTAAAGTGACATACTAAATATTAACAATTATCATTTTTAAATGTTTTTAAAGACAATGAAAATAACCATTGTAGCCAGGTGCTGGTTGCTCATGCCTGTAATCCTAGCTACTCAGGAAGCTAAGATCTGAGGATTGAGGTTTAAAGCCAATCTGGGTAGGAAAGTCTGTGAGACTCTTAAGTCCAATTAAGTGAAGTATGGCTCAAAGTGGTAAAGTGTTAGTTTGAGTAGAAATGCTCATGGACACTACCCTGGCCCTGAGTTCAAGCCCCATGATCTATAAAAAAACATAGTAAGCATTCTGTTTGTATTTACAGTTTTGAAGAATATAAATCAAAACCCAAATAGCCTTCATAAAAGTTTATTTTCAAAAGACTCTTGATAGTGTCAGTTTAATTTCATAGAACTATTTCACTCAGAAAGCTATAGATCATTTTGTCTCATATCAACTAGACAAACAGTAATAACTAAAGTGTCAAGAATAAGCAAGTAGGAGTTTGTATGAAGTTTACATGTACTTTTAGTTCTGTAATTTATTAATCATCATTAACTGATACAGTCTTTGATCAGGCTACATGGTTGATTTTTGTGCAGGTATGGAGCTTGAACTGAGGGCCTAGGCACTCACTGCCCTGAGCTTTTTCTCTTCAAGACTAACACTCTGCCACTTGAGCAACAGCTCCATTTTCAGCTTTTTGGTGGTTAATTGGAGATGAGTCTCATGGATATTCCTGCTCAGGCTCTCTTAGAACCTAAATGCTCAGATTTGAGCCTCTTGAGTAGCCAGGATTACAGACATGAGCTATGGGTATCCAGCTTCAGAGTATGTGTTTTATATATCACTCTTTAAAAAGGGTTTTTAATACAGGCCTTTAAACCACTGCACATGTACTGCATGTTATGCAAGTTCAGCTCACACAGTTTTTAGGAGAATAGAATTCTTCTGGAAATTACGAGGGGAAATTTTTATTTTATTTTCTGTCACTCTAACAAAATACCCAAGATAACAAAAGAAAAGAAGCATTTGGGCTGGGAAGGTTGCTCAGTGGTAGAGTGCTTGCCTTGCATGCATGAGGCCCTGGGTTCAATTCCTCAGTACCACATAAGCAGAAAAAGCCGTAAGTGGCTCTGTGGCTCAAGTGCTAGATAGAGCTAGCCTTGAGCTGAAGAGCTGTGGGACATCACCCAGGCCCAGAGTTCAGGCCCCATGACTGACAAAAAAAGAAAAAAAAAAGAAGCATTTGTTTTGATTCATACTTTGTGGTTTTCAGTTTATGGTTAGTTGGTTTGTTGCTTTGAGGACTATAATGAAGCAGAACATTATTAGCAGGAACATGTAGCAAAGGAACCTATTTATCTCATGACTGCTAGGAAACAGAAAGAGACAGGGAGAAGGGATCAGAGTTCACTAATCCCCTTCAAGGCACACTACAGGGATCCAAGTTACTTCCAGTAGGTCCAGCCTCCCAAACATTCTACTACCTCCTAATAGTAGCCCAAGATGATGACCAAGCCTTTATTTAACACATGGGCCATTAGGATACATTCAGTGTTCCCACTGAAACCAGGACCTTAAGCATACTAGGCAAGTATGATACTACTTGAAACCATGCCCCCAACCCTTGTTTATATTTTATTTGGAATGGGGTCATGCTAACTTACTGTGCTGGGCATGAACTCAAAACCTCTTGCCTCCACCTCCCAAATAACTAGCATTATAAGCATATTTCACCATACCAGGCTTAACAGAATAGTTCTTGAATTTTCTGAAGAATACTAATGTTTACTAGAAATGTTTGAGCCAGATGTGATTTTTTTTTCCATATTAAATGATTATTCTCTCCCCCCCATTCGGAATTGAGCCTTATATTCTCAGTTGGCTTCCTTGCTCTTGGCTGACACTCTCCCACTTGAGCCAAACCTCTAGCTAGTTTTTTTGCTAGTTATTTAGAGATGAAGTTTTGAGGACTTCTGGCTGGCTTTGAACTGAGATCCTCCAGGTCTTACCAGAACCAGGTCTACTACCTCACTCTTAAAGGAATTGGAACAATAAATTTCATAATTAACTGAAATTGAGATTTGTAACTTCTTAGTTTTAGCTTTCTTAAAACAGCATCTGTCCTAAAGGCTTTGGGATTCAAGAATGTATTTTTATACCAAAATACCCTGTTTATAACATCTGAATTATGTAAAATTACTTTAACATTTTTCCTGTAATATTTGTTATTTTTTTTACATTGACTTTCTTATATTCTAAATTGCATTTCTTGTTCCTTTTATTTTTAAAATTGCTTTTAGTATCTTTCCTATTTCAATGAATTCTTTATGTTGAATGGTAGGGAAGATCCTCTAATAATAAGATTTCTGGAATGCAAGTTTCTAGCTCTAGTATCAGTTCATTATATAGCAGATTTCAATAAACAAAGTATAAAAATAAATTCATAAAAATTAAAAGCAGGTGTCAAGTGGTATTCTGTAAGAAGCATTAGCTTCGTGGACTTAGAAAAGGCATAAGATAAAGTGAAACATTGCTTTTGCAGTGTTGATTGCTAACAATTAAGTAGAAGAGACAAAGAACAAAATGAAAAAAGAGAAAATGGTAGAAAGAAATTTTTTGTGTGGTAGAAAACAGGATAGCATTAACAGAAGTTGTCTGATTGTCTGAAGTTCCCATCATGTTTCAGATGACAGCTTATATTTGCCATACTAGCTGGACATGAAGTCCTATGCCTGTAATCCCAGCTACTGGGAAAGGATCACAATTTGAAGCCAGCCAACGCAAAGTTAGCCCTGTGTGAAAAACATGTGAAAATGAAAAGTACTTGAGGAGTGGCCCAAGTGTAGAATACTTGTCTAGCAATCATGTTGCACTGAGTTTAGTTCCTAATATCATGCCACTTCCCCAAAATCAATTCTTTATCCAGTATAAATCCTTATTAACTTATAAGACTACTACAGGAATGTTCTAGCCTCGTTGTTTATGCTAGATTATCTAGATTAGCATGGGTGTTCAGCAAGTATTTGGAGGGATGGTACCATTGCAAGTTTTATATTGATTTTACGTGACCTAGTCCTAGAAATGTATTGCTACTGTATTATTTTCATAACTGCTCTCATCATTAGTTTTCATTACCTGTGAATTTTTAAAAGATAATTTTAACATTACTTTGCTAACTTTAGCATGTTCAAGTGCTTTCACATATGAAAAAATGTGAAGTAGCATGGACATTAGTATTGTTATTTTTTTACCCTTAGTTTTCAGATTACTGTAGACGTACTTCCTTTTCTTATTAATGCTGTACTCTTTAAGAACTCTCTTCCTGTGTTTACCGTTAGGTTATCCTCAGGTTTCTGTGCTCTCCTGGGTGATTCCCTATAGTCCAGGATTTCCTCCTGAAGCTGGGGAATAAAGACCTGAGTCCTTTTTAATACCTCCATTGTTTTATACTCTTCAAACGTTTCCTTCTAAAAGTACCACCCTCTTTTCAGTAAAATTGTTATCCATCTAAGCCAGAAACTTCTGTAGATTTGAGTTTGACATGAACTTTTCACCTACTCTCGCTCCCTTCATTGACAATTAT